GCTCAAAAGGAGCAGTTTGTTGCGGAGACGAGCGAGTCGGACTTCAAGTACATTGTTGATGGTTGGGAGGCGAAGATCGTTCGTTGCGGCGAAGGAGACCAGAAGTGGGGGCTGTTCTACGGCAAGAAGGAGTAAATGTAGTGTGAAGTTTTGCGGGACAACTACTGAAATATCAAGTTGTAAGGATCAATTTTCAACTTAAGCAATGAAAATGATTGACTATTGTCAAGATTCTTTACAGACCCGGGTACAAACCCAGGAAACCCGGGGTCGGTTCGCCCTGCACTTCACCCAAGTACAGAGTGAATGTCTGCTTCCATTCCTCCACCTTCGCGCGGTCCTCCATGAACAGCGGGAATCCAGCCATGTTGGCCTCCGGGATGTCCCAAGGCTTGTCCGTGTTGATGTCCATGCGCACACTCGGCGCCACCGTATCTGACTGCACTTCCTCCGACAAAGCCCAGTTCATGAACAGCTTGGCCGCAGCAGGGTGTTTAGCCTTCGCCAAGATGGCAGCACGTTGGCCCCACGCGATGTACTCAGTGTTGTTGCCAACTGGAGCATTGCCACCGATATCGGTGCCCATGCCGATCACCTTCTCTCCAGCAGCGACCAATTCAGCAGCAACGTTCGATCCACGGTGGAAAGCCACGCTCTGGTTAGCCAGTTTGGCCACCCAGTCCCAGCCGTACAGCTCAACGTAGCGGGTGTACAGATACAGCACCGCATCGTCGTCGTTGGGATACGACGAGGCAATTTTGCCAGCCCACTGCGAGTCCGTTAGGCTTTCCATCGAGGTAGGAGCGGCGAGTCCGTTGAGACTACTTGAGTTGTAGCTTGTGTAGAACGAGTAGATGGTGTACGCCATCCAGGCACCGTCATTGTCCCTCAACGACGGGTGGATGTTGGAGAACCCGTTCGGTTTGTATTGAAGGAGCTTTCCTTCGTCCGCCCAGCGAGTGAAGTCCTGCAGTGTTTGCAACGCTACGACGTCGGGCACGAGAGTGTCGGTCTCCAGCTGATTGTCGATACGCACATCGTGGTACTTGCTGTAGTCGACGACTAGCGTGAAGTTGATTTCTGGGAAACGTTGCTGAAAAGCTTCGTGCAGAGCATCTTGTTGGGTCGGGGTGTCACCTCCGTGGTACAGGACAAGTTTGCCGCCTTCGGCAACAGCCTCGGCGTAGAGATCATCGATGGACTTGGTCTCCTCTTGCACCTTGGCCAGAACGCCGAAGGAGAGCAGGGTAAACGTCGCAACAAGTGGATGGAAAAGCTGCATTGATGGCTGAGGTGTTGTTGTGAAACTTGAGGCGGAAGAAGCAAATTTGAGAATGGTCAGAGTAGTGAATGACCACCGCGCACAGCAAAACGTTAAAAGTGTTCCAGAGTGGTTTTACCCACCATGCACGTCTTGTTTACCTGCACTACTATATTTCAGCAGGTTTGCTGACGGGACGCAGCAGATAACTAAACATTTCAGTAATTCAACAAACCGAATACATAATGTCGGAACGAAGACGAGGGGTTTTCCCAATGTTCAAGCGGTCACAGCAGTGCAAGCAAATCTGCACCTATGGGATAACGTGTACCAAGCATGGCTGTTTACGTAGTTCGGGGCTTTTGTTTTTTAAAAATGAAAATGAGCACTTAAGGTCGAAGGTCCAATGAGTAACACACATGTATTACTTGAACGTAAAGCTCGGAGCACGAAATATAGTATCTCCAAAATCTATCAGCTCGTTTCCAGCATATAATAGGGATAGCACGGGGTTGAACCACCAGGATTTTCGAGTTAAGTAAAGGACCTCGTCGCTATATATACTTAACAATGTACCCTGCCTCTAGTTCCAATAAGACAGCACTGGACTATGTATCTCGACAACTGATGCTCTTTAAAGGCAAAATCACTTGCTGCGGCGGCATCGTCTACTTGAAGATGCAACTCGGCTGTATGAGTCGTAGCGATTGGTGAGATGATACACAGGGTTACGTCCGACAATAAATCGGAGGGGCAAACTGTGTAGGTGAACAAAATTCTTAACGCATCTCCACCGGTTGAGCTAAACGCAGTATATTGTGGCACCCGTTTAGACTAAATACTAGCCAAAACAGCAACACTCTCGCGCAAGTGCATGCGTGGTTGACATTCCTATCCAATGATGATCGCTGAATAGGAACACCAATTGTGATCGTTGGAATACCGTGCACACGCGTAGTATAAAAAAACAACGACGTGACTACTTCTAGCAGAATTACTAGAATCTGTTGCACCATGCATACAAAGTGTTCCTGTTGCCCATGTAAATCCCAGTCAAATTCAAATTTTGACAAACCTTTAACTGAGAACGAATAATGTGTAGAGCATATTCTACAACGATCGTTGCGTTCGTTTGACCATTGGAAACGGGGGTGGGAGGAAAATGCTCGCATTGATTAAAGGATTTACTCCTCAACGACAACGAACTTGTATGAAAATGTCGCTTGCCGTTGGATGCCATTCAGACGAAAAAAAAGCCATCAAAATTTTAATGGGTTTTTTTTCGTCTGAATGCCATCCAACGGCAAGCGACATTTTCATCGAAAGTTCTACAAGTATTGTTTTCAATCGACTTAGTTTGTTAGTTACACGTTCGGAACTATAAAGTATATGTTAGGCATTCGCGTACAATGTCTTGGAGTCCGAACTATCGCGATAACCTGATTGCCTCGAAGAGGAACATTTATTAATTAGCATAAGAAAGCACCTCTGAGAGGGGCTTCCTAGTGCACCAGAGGCTTGTGCTGCGTCAACATGCAAACTGCCCCACAACCAAGGCACTTCATAATCATCTTCGCAATCACGCTGACCGCACTATCACCTCCCCACTGGACATGGCAGAAAGTAGGGAGCATTGAGAGCGGAGCACTGGAGCAGAGAAAGTATAGACAGGTGGTATTAAAATACTACCAGGGGCTCGATGTGAGCTCGTATTCGTAGACACAATTGTGTTTTTAGAACTGGTTATTAATAAGTACCCACCAAAAGAATCGGAGCTACTTAAGTAGCTCCTAAAAAAGAAGAACTACTTAAGTAAGTCCGATAGTTCTAAATAAAATTGTGTCTACTTATACGAGTTCACACCAACCAATTGCAGCATAAGTTCACTCCCACCACCACCACCAGACACACCCAAAACTTTAATTCGCAAATGTTGCCTGAGTCCATAGTCCACCGATTTTGGCTAAATAAACACAATTATGTTTGTACATTTTGTGACTGGAGATCTTCCCAAAGTTGCAATGTTTGAAACATCAAATTTTCATTTTTTTGTTTTAATTTTTTTTATAATTATAAAAATTTCACTTTGCCTCTTCAGCGAAAATAACCCCCAAGCAATACCAATACCGCTAATAATATAGGGCAACACGAAGACTGGAATATTCTTCTTGCAAAGCTAATTTGAGTTCATCCGCAAGAGTGACGCTGATGCGCACGTATTTATTAACGCATCTCCAGCGTCTGCTTCACAGCCGCTGCATCTGCGCGCACATTCGACGAGCCGTCACCGTGGCTTTTTCTTATACTAAAGCAATATTAATGAAGCCAAGCCTTTGCACATGTTGATAATAGCTGTAAGAGGCAAGCTTTTCAAAGTCTCGTAAGTCAGCTCCCACAAATGCAATGAACACAATCTTACTATACTACTAAACAAACCCTACACAATATTTCGACGTCAGTCCTAAAGGTGTTCTAAATTTTCGAAACTCTCCTAAAAAAATGATTATCTCAACTGGCCTGTGCAATGCGCGACTTGCTTTGGCTACGCGTGCCAATCACTCACCTTGGTTGACTTCATATCATCAAATCAAAATTTAGAATTCTTTAGAAAATTTTAAAATTAATAAAACCTAAAATGTTCTAATTTCTGATTGGAAAGAGTCTCTGTCCTGCATCGCCTCTAGTCGGTGTATGGAGAGCGTTGAGATTTTAGTAATGACACAAGAGAATAGCGGAAGGAAATGGCAACAGTTTTGTTATAGATGGCGTTAGGATGGGTTCAGCTTGTGCTATGGCTACATTGTCCGTTGAAGTGTAGATCTGTTGTGCGTCTGTATTAATTTGTCTATCGACATATTTTTTTGACGTTGCCGTCGGATTATTTTCAGCCCGTGGTGATCGACCATTAAACTGACTTTGACCGGAAGCTCTATTTGGGTGCATCTTCAGTTATGGCGGTAAAATGAAAGAAAACAGTGAGTTCTTCATTGACAGAATTACAATGTAAAAGGTAAACAACGCTGCTTTGTTTCGCCATTTTCTCGCTACTCTGGCCGACGACGGAGTAAAAGATCAGCTTCGTTAAACTGCTCCGTCGACGCGGGGGACGGCGCCGACGTCGGCGCCAACGTTGGTGCGGGTGTCGGTGCGGGTGTCGGTGCGGGTGTCGGTGCGGGTGTCGGTGCGGGCGTCGGTGTCAGGATATTCAGCACCGTTCCGATAGCGCCGCCGATGAGACTTTGTTGACGTAGCTGGCGCCCAGAGTCATCAGCGTTGGCAACAGCAATCACCATGCAGCTCAGCACAGTCAGCATTACAGTCACGTTCATCTTCGTAGCTTGGGTGTTCGTTTGGAAATGCAGTTGGCACTCCACTCGGAAACGAGGGGATCCCGGCATGGTGGACTGGGCGAACTAGGTCAAAGCCGATTGCTGCTGGCCTCAATCGTAGTGTTGCAGCATTATGGAAGCACGTTTGAGAAAAACACGCATTACGCGTAGTATTCTTGGACAGTCGAGTATGATTTCAGTTAGACAAAAGGCACAGGAAGCGTAACTGAAAACAGTATAGTTCTCACCTCTCGTTTGATACGAGTCGTATCCAAACATTGAAAAGAGAAATAAGATCATGCAGATCGACAAGTTGTACATTCATGTCTGACCCAGACGCAAGAAACTCTCCTACGACCGGGCGCACATAGGCTGTCGGCACCAAGTCCGCTTCTTTGGAAGATTTGAGATAATTCGATGCCAAATACTAGAATAAGCGAGGTGGAGCATGCACTCTGAAGCTCATCCTTATCGATCACATCAGTTTCATTACTAGCCTCTGCGCATGCATTTGTTAACCGAAGGAAAATATTTTCAGTCGTTTCGAAGTTTGCTCTATTATCAATGGAACATTTCTGAAATCAAGGAAGCGATAACAAAGCCGTGCTTTCGCCCAGAACAGCTCTAGATTCTAATTTTAAAATGGTTTAATGAATCATTTCTTAGTCCTTGTAGATAGCTGAAGGGAAAGCGAGATTAAATTGTTCCGTAGCTTGCCGGACTCCACAGAGAGAGTCGAAGAACTAATATTGTACTCATGTTTAAGTTTAGAAAAATATGCCGTTGACCATTGCCAAACTTCTGGCAAGGATATTCATCAGCCAGTTGTCAACTTTATTCTTCTTCATATATAATATAAATAATTGCGGAAAGCAATAAAAAAATAATTGTCAGTGACTATTTCTGACGGTGGTTCTGTGCTTACGTAATTTATACTCGGGCGAGTTATCACCCAGAATCTCATATTACTGCTCTCGTATAATTGTCGAGGAAAGCAGAAGTAAGGGCCCACGAAAAGGTTTATCCAGTCTCCAGCCATGTTCTACGGACGGTTTACGACTGCGACGAAGCAGGATATCTACCTTTGAGAGTTATTCCTCTAGTACCATACCACTTATTCGCTTGGTGCTTGGCTATTCTTTAAGCAATTGAACTGTGTTTATTCATGTGCCAGTGGGAAATTCTGTTGTAGAGCTACATTATACCTTAGTGAAGCAGTTGTAAGTGAAATACGTCATGAATGCGTTAGTAAATGAAATGCAGTACTTGCCCTCATTTTCAACATTGTCAATAAACTGATTGAAGGTACAACACGTGTATTGTAGGCTAGTTGAGCTCGTCCTGAATACCTTGTTCTGTGATGGAGTAGATAGCCTCCGATTCTGGAAGGATGGGGGAGTCCACGACCTTCATGACGCGGTTCTCGCCACGTCCCTTCTTAAGGCGAAGTCTGCAAAATTGCCAAAACATTAAAATACTAGAAAATCTTGTCTAGTTGGAAGATTGACTGTACCTGGTGCAAGACGCATGGGCCATGATATTGCCACCAATGGGCTGTAGCGGGTCTTTAGCAAACATACCCGAATCCGGATTTGCGGTCATCTAGCGACAGTAACAATCGTTAGTTTTCGTCAAATATCACAATATATCGACCTTAACAAACCTGATTTGTGATCACAACTGCCACGCCGAACTCGTCAGCCATTCTTGTCAATGCACGCAGGAACCTGCAACAACAACGAGTAAAATATCTGATTCAACCTCTCACGAAGCATATCCAACATACTTGGCCAGTTCCTGTTGTCGAGCCGCCAGCTCGCCACGACCAGAATAATCTGTTCTAAACAGCGCCGTTGCACTATCAACAATCACGAGTGCGAAACGAGACTCTGCCATCATAGCGGACGCTTGAATGAGCAGCTGCATCTGGTGCTCCGAGTTGTAGGCACGGGCGAACGCCACATTGTCAAGTACACTGTCTCCATCCAGTCCATATCTCTCTGCAATAGCCTGCAGTCTCTGAGGACGGAACGTGCCTTCGGTGTCGATATACAGCGCCTTGCCCTCACCACCACCGCGATCCACAGGCAGCTGACACGTCACACAGAGCTGGTGGCACAGCTGCGTCTTGCCTGTGCGGAACTCTCCGAATAATTCTGTAATGGAACCCGTCTCGATTCCTCCTTTAAGCAGCTCGTCGACAGCGTTCGACCCCGTGGATAAAGTAATTAAATCTTTTCTGCTCTCCAACACATCAGCAGCCTAAAATATAATAATAATGAAATAAAAAATGTAAAAAAAGATAAGAACGCATGGACGCTGAGAAATGCTTGCTTACCGTTGTGAAACCCACGTTGACCATTTCTCGTGCAGCCTTGAGCATTTTCTCGGCTTTGACTTCACTGATGCCTTTGATACTAACGAGTTGCTTCTTGGTGGCCATCGCCACAGCGTCCACCGTGTGCATTCCTGCTTCTTTGAGCTTATTGACGTCCGTGGCATTGATTCCTGCCTGCTCCAGGATATTCACGAGACGCGGACCTTGCTAGAAATTATTATAAAAAAAATACGCAATCATGGTAGTCAATGAAAAAACTTGCACTTGGCAATACAAACTCCATGTTCCATGACAGCGCTTTACTGGCGGCCTACCATCTCGTGTTCCTCCGCACCCATGTCCATCTCCTCTTCCTGGTACTGAGCGTTCATCTTGACGCTCGCTATTCGCTCTCGGCGCTGTAGATGCCCCTGTAGACTGGTGTAGCCAACCTTGACTTTCCTGTAGTGACTCGCGATGGCAAGCTTCCAGTAGAGGGTACAAAACGTTCTGTGGCGTTGTGCTTGATTCGGTGACAAGTATACACTCTCCCGCCAAAACTTTTTGGATCAAGACCATCACTCATAAATCGCACTTAATTGAATTATACTCGATCTTGAAGCGACGCAATAGCGATATGGGGGTGATCACTAGACTTCTGCTGCTCCTTGAGCTCTGCGTATTGGTCTACGTGTCTCGTACAACTGGAGAGAGCGAGGTTGAGGTCGCGCTGGACGCTGCTGGCTCCATAGTCCACAAGAATCGGCCATTGGAGGCTGTTGCAGAAGCTAACAGCGATCCAGCTGAACAATCGAGTGTTAATGAAGCTGAGACTGTTGGTGAATCAATGAAGAGTGATAGTCCTTTCCATGAGAGCGACGTGGTGCCTTTAATGACGACGTTGCAGCGGGAGCTGACGGCAGTGGAGCAGATGGTGAAGCTGCAGGAGAAGAAGCTGCAAGTCCTGCGAGAGATGCGCAGTGTTTGGCTGCAGGAGACGCAGTTGCCTCAGGACGAGGAGATGCCAAAGAGAAGGAGACAAGTGGACATAGTCGAGCTCATTGAGAGAAGACTGGACGCTGCAATCGCGGAGACATTAACAAAATCGACGACCAGTGCCTTTGACACGCACTTTGTCGAGAAATCAACAATAACTTTAGAGGGGGAGGTGGTAGATATGAAGATGAAAGTCTTGGGGGCAGTAGAGCTGATTGCAGTGGCGTACAGAAGCGGTATAGCGGTTTTCTATTCGGAAGTGGAGGAATTATTGAGAATTGATACAGAGAAGCAAGGGATCGAGAGAATTGCACTCGAATTTCAAGAAGATCAACCGTGTCTTGTAGTGATGTACGAGACTCCAGAGATCGCGGTATACGAGCTAAAACTCGTTACCAGGAGCACAAGCTATGATGCCCAAGAACCAAAAATCACTGTTGCAGTTGTACCTGAATTGATGCTGAGTGTCAAGGAATCTCGCATTCTCCAATTACCAAAGAAGGCTTCTGCATTAGCTATTGCGAAATCTTCTCGTCAACTGGTGATGGCAGTCTCTCAAGTCGACGGAATTATCAATTTTCTTGCGCTTAATGGGACGAATTTTCGTCAACTACAGACAAACGCCTCGATCTCAGCGATGGAGACGAGAAGAAACCTCTTAGCGTTCAGCACCAACACAGACGTTGTCATTTCCTCAGTGACCCGCGCACAAGGCTCCGTCTTCCACATTTGTCCAGGATCGTCGGCGAAAGTATCGTCCATCACATTTGACGCCATGGTGCCTGAAATCATGTACATTGGCACTCAACGAGGAGAGATCCTTGTGTACGCAGTAAACGCCGGTGCTCCTGCTGAAGCACAGGCCTGTCGCCTTTTATCTCGATCGTTTATCACAAAAACCTCTCAAGACACGGCCCCAGTAGTACTTGCCACTACGAAGACGTATATTATCGCGGCAACACCACAAAATATCGGTGTCTTTAACGTATCCAAGACGCAGCGAGATGGTGCTTTTCTCTCTAAAATTTGCTCAATCAAGCGGATGAATCCAACTGAGAACCATCAACTAAGTCTTCCTATAATGGCATTTTCCCAGGGAACTTTGGGGTCCTATCTCGCCATCATTAACGGCCAAGACAAACTTACTTTATATCATTGTCTTCTTCCCGACGTAAGAGAGCCATCCGATCTCCATTGGACAGTGTATCTTTATGCTATCATTGCTATTGTTGCTGTTATCGGCTCTCAGCTATTTATTCGGTGGCAACGACGATCCAGTGTGAATCCTTGGGATTCAATTGGTAAACCACGTGATTCACCTTACGAGAAATACGGTGATTTAAAAGATGACGACGATGAATTCGACGGCGATTTTGGTCAATACAGTTATCTCAGTGACGAGTTGCGAAACAGAATTGCACAGGAGAAAAAAGGATCGACTCGCACAGAGGAGGATGTTGACTACTAGATTACATTCTCAAATTCCAATGAACGATATCAGTTTTATGTGTGTGTGTGTTTACTGATCCATTATCTCCCCGCGTCTACCTTCCAGTCGCTTCCTGGCTGCATTTACTAGCTGAAAGGCGTCAACATCCCCGTCGTGAAATGATGGCGACGTTAGAATTGATATACTCGACGCTTCTGATGAGAATCCTAGTGAAGACAGCGGACGAATTGGTGGCCCTGCATCCTCACTCCCTGAAACTCCCAGTCCCTTGAAGTCGATAAACTCTTCGAGCAGTTCATCGTAAAGTTTTCCGTTCAACGCAGGGAATCCGAGTCCTGCTGATTTGTCGATTATCTTCGAGTTTGCGAGCTTTTTCGGCGGTAGAGGCGCTTGATTCACTCGTCGGCGCTGTGACTTAGTATCCTCATTACCTTCAGAATTCTTCCGTAGCATCCCTTTGGCACGAATCGATTTCCAGTATTGCTCTGGTTCTGACCCGCTGCTAGAAGTATCACTAGTAAAGACAAAAAGCTTAGACATTAGCACCTGAAGAAAAAAAAACATCGGTACTAAATCGTGATGCTTACCTGAACGTCCAGATGTTCTCGATCGAGCGTTGAAAAAGCTGGGTTTGGAACAAATGCGAGCAAAAATCTCGGAAACTTGGGTGCATGGCTAAGAAACCACGTTCATCAAAAACCACAGTGTCCGCCGAGTTGTTCCCTGGTGCTCCAGTCCTAGTGCAATGCTTGCGGACGTCCTTGAGAATCCTGTATGCCACGCGGAATTGTAGATAAAAAAATAATTCACCATTATAACCGAGTATATAAACTCACCGTATCGAGAACGAAGAAAAGAGCGCCTGTATTTCACTCCACTTCTCAGTCAACTCGTCATGTCTGGTACTTGCTTGCCCCACTTCAAGGACTGAGGGCTGGGAAGGCTCATATTCTGGTGAAAGCGGACGTTCGTCGGTACTGCAGCCATGTCCAAAGCTGTGTCGTGTGCGCTGACTTGCTGACCAAATCGAGAGTTTCCGCAGAGTATGGAGCAGCTTCCGTGATTTTACGTCGGTGAGAAGTGGAAGCGCCTCGTTAAGTGGTACTCGAATGTCGTTATTGTCGAGATCAACTAAGATGACTCCCTCAGCCACCAGCCGTTCTAGTCGTTGGTCGGAGCGAACTCCCATGAAGAATGGTACTGGTGCGCAGATAAACTCAACTAAGGACTGAAAAAAACATAGATTGGTAATTTAATCATCGTGATAAAATACGCTTATCTTACCAGCGGAAGAAGTGGGATGTATACTTGCTGGAACACGAACGGATGGAGTAATGCACGCAAGGTCTCTGCAACATGCGTCAAAATTGGTCGATTGGCTGAAGTAAGAACAACTTTCTTTTCTGTCAGCAAGTAACCATAAACCTAAATAATAGATAAGAAAAATAGGAGTGAGTACTGTGATCACAATTTGAGGTATCCGATTGTAATACCACCTTCACAATATTTTCTGGGTTGAGGCATTGGAAAAGAAGGGTAAAGTCGACTTCGGTCGGGAAGAATAGTGGTAAACTTGGCTGAAATCCTGACAGTAGACAAGTCTTTTCAGCGAGTTTAAACGTCGTTTGTGTCGAATTCGCGGTTGGAATCCGAATTTGCTCGAGAAAATTGAAAATAATCGACTCCACTGACACACGCGTTGAGTTGGACAATGAAAGTCGGTAGAGGTATACCAGAAAACTGCGAAATGTTTGGAATAAGGGAGAACTGGATAACACACAGATGCATTTGGGTGCATAGCACTTCCACTTGGTTTGTCCCTGTTGGATATCTTTCAAACTCACCCACGACGGTAAGTTCGCAGTTCTGCCTTTTTCCGTCGCAGATATGAGTGAAAGTACGTCCATGGGGTGTTTTTCTTCACAAAAGTGGAGACAAGAGCCGTAGGAGCGCATTCCTTTGATATCTGCAATAATTGTCGATACCAATAATTGAAATATTACAATACAATATTGCAACAATATTTGAAAGATATTTAACTTACCAGTGAGAACGATGTCGAACGTCTTCAACGAGAAAGGCTCTGTACTGAGGTAAATATCGTCCGGGAAACAGAATTTTGGTAGCTCCTCTGGTAGACTAGCCCGTGATGGTAGTACGTCTACCACTTCGGGTTCAAGTCGAATATCTGTTGGCGAAGCAGTGTTACTGACATCAACTCCTACCGTTTTGGTCATTTTTCCACCCAAGACAACAACGCAATCCGCAATACCCGTGCGACTGCGCACTCGGTATCGCTCGCTTGTCGAGCTTGCTGATGTTTTGCGCTATCATCACATGTGAGTGAATACTACGTAAGTAAACAAAAATATGTTTCAGACACGTACACCTGTCGATGATTTAATGGTTGACTGTTTCCGTGGATACGTGCAATCACCAGAATATATCGAAAAGTTGTGTGCCCCGGTATGTTTCGCTGCCAACAGATTAATGATTTCGCAGAACTCCACGGGATCTGGCCATAGAAATCACCAATTAGATCACATTAAGTCACACCAAATTATGTTCATCAAACTTACCTGCTTCAGCGAGCCAGCAGAAATATTGCAGTACCCCTCTTTCTGTCAAACCGCCATCTTGGTTATCAAAATTGTTTAATAACCATTGAAATGTCTCGGAAGATACTGCCCTGTGTCCACACGCTTTGCTCAAAAGCGTGAGTTCAGGTTGTAAGAGTACACCTTTCTTGTCGGTATCAAAGTCGGCAAATGCTGCAGCAAGTACAAAGCGGTAAAATGGTGTGATAGTCTCTTCTTGGTCCTGTTGATCTGCAGCCGTTGATGGTTGACTTTCAGCGAGAAAGAACTTCCGTCGAACGGCTAACAGCGCGCGGATGTAGCTGCGCTTTGTGTTAAGAACGTTGGATTCTACAGCATTATCCTCGCTTTGTGCACATGCGTCTAGATTTATCAACGCATTTTCCAGTAATTGTTTCTCGGCTTCACAACCTCTGGGGAGGTGAGTTGCTAGCTTAAAATGCACCATTGCCAGACTATGGTGAAGATGACTTCTGGAATAGTTTAGTCCACCTTTGGAGTGTTGTAACAGGAAGCGGAACATCTTCTTGGCCTCCCAGTAGAATTCACCTGGTGGAGACGTTTTCGACAAAATAAGTGTGCTTTCAAAAAAGACCTCGTTGGTGATACTCCTCTCATCAATTTGCTTGGTCTCGTCAAACTTGGCACCCAGCTCGTAGTCTGCACAAACCTTCTTGTTGTGTGCTATGACGTCTGCATATGCTGCCAAACACTTTGCTCGTAGATACAGACAGTACAAATACCGTTCATAGAGCGCGCTAATTGTCCAATCATCGTCATACTCCCCGATTTCAGTACCAATACTGGATTCGTCATCGTCACTCTCACTAAGACCATCATTCTTTCGAGCGATAGTAATTAAAGCGCTCAGTTCATCACTGGCCTGTGTAAGTTTTCCAGATGCAAGTGATAGTGTCTCCATAGCCAAATCCAGAGTAAATAATATCGATTCGTCACTCCATGTGTCAGAATTTGTCGTGTAAACACGGACATTTGTGACGTAAAAGAGTTCTTCGTAGCTGTAAACTTTAGTTGTGCTCTTGAGAACTTGAGATGCAAATATATACAGTGAACGTCCGAAGCGAGCGAGGTATTTGGCTCGAAGTTGCGGAGATGACTCGACGTAGTTAATAACATCGGAATATTTTTCACCTGCTGACACCCAGACATCCAACATATGAGGCACTGTATCTTGAGTATCCGGTTTTTTGGCAAGTGAATGCCTCTGTAATTCTCCAGCGAGAAAGGCATATATTTCATCGGCCTCATTCGATAAAGCGTTTAGTTGTTCCAGCTCACGTTTTCTTTGCTCCACCAACACTTGAGAGTCAATCTGAGATACTGATACCTGCGGGATGGGTGTGTTGACGCTTGGTTCGCTGCCGTTTCCAGTGTTTTCTGCATTATCAGCCAAGTCCAGATTCCACGAGAATTCAATATCGACGTTAGCATCATTCGTCTTAACTGGTTCTTGCTCTTGCCTCACAGCGGGAGTCTCACCAATGGCCAGTTGTTGTATCTTTCGTGGCTTCAAGAGAGGAGCACAACTGCTCTGGTAATCAATTAGCAAGTCTTCCCGGTGCATTTTGTTGAATTCAAGCAGAAAATGCACTCTTGCTTGGTTAAAATCGACGTTTTTCTTCGCTAGAGCGCCTCCGTTTGTCCCCAAGTTATTCGAAATGTGGTGGAGAAGCGCTTTGAGAGACTGGACGCCCAGTTTGCTCGCTAGATCCACGTTCAGGCAGCTTGGAGACATTTTCTCTTTTGCCTTAACAAGACGAGGAACTGCTAGAAGAGCGATGTAGACTACACTTTCAATTATTTTCCCGCAAACGACCTCCAGCGTCGAAGCTCCTAAACTTGAAAGAGCTGAAATTTCTTCTCTAACCGGCGAATATTCAGGCTCGTCGAACTCGGTCCTCTGGTTCTTATTGTTGCTTTGCTCCTTCCGACAATAGCGCATGAACACCTTGCACACTTCAGTGGAGGAAATCGGTACCGTCGTTGGGATAATATCACGAATAAATCGATGAAACTCATGGTATCCCAATACACAACGTTTTTGAGCAACTCCAACATTACGACTGTAAGATGTAGCGAGATCTCCAATTGTCTTGGTAAAACGTTGAGCTACCGCTCTGACCTTTTCTCGTTCCATTAACTCGTCTATTTGATCCCAAGACAACGTGTCCGAACCAGCTGCAAACTGCTCCATTTCATGACACGGAATTATATACTCAAGCGCAAGTTTCTCCAGTGCCCTCTCCTTGGACGATTCTTTCGGATGCATGAAACAAGCTACGTCTACTAGAGCATCCAGAAATTCATCAAAGTTGACGCCAGAAATTCCATCTCCACTGTTACAGACAATCGATTGAGCTCCTCGGAACGCCAGAGCCACTCGTTTATCGAAAACCAGCTTCTTCTTCTGTTGGTAGATAGTCTTTGCTGTAGATTTCTGAAGAAGATGCTTGAGCTGGTAGCTGGTAATGCGAAGTGTACTGCTCTGACGGTTCTGTAGAGCATTGAAGACGAACAAATCGAAGAGCTGATCGTGTATCCAGAAAGGATCCAACGACTTCACGTTGGTAGTTCTCTTGACTGGAATTGATGTCACTCGTTCGCGTCGCTTAAGTGTCAAAACTGCGGGGTGGAAATGTGAAAGCTCCAGTGGTTTGCCGCCGGCTAGTATGCTGCCAAATTCGTCATAAAGATCGTACTTGGTGGTTTTTATCTGGCAGTACCGACCCACGTCGTGCTTCAGCTTTTCAACAGAGTAGTCAATGGGAATCCAGCCAATGTACTCCAGCGGTCCAGTCGTCTCGAAGTTATCGTGTTGATGCTTAGACTCGTCATTTTCTGGCGGAATGATGACGACGTGCACTTTACTCATGGCAAAGTGTGACGTAAGACGTTAAAGAGTCGGGAGATGCATTAAGGAAAAAAAAACTATTTTCTGATTTCGCGAAACTACCCTGTGCGGCCATTGGGACACCAACAATGACCAAGACTAAAGCTAACAGGAAGAAACACAAAGCAGTGCGGTCCAGATGGGCGGACCTTGCAGAGGAGACCTCGTGTGCGTGTCGGTTTATCTTCGCTTCCTAAAGAGTAGTTAATAACTTGTTTGTTTCGGGTAGTTCCTGTGGCAGCTCTGGAGGTGCTAGAAAAGCATCATAAAATACTAAATACTTTCTGTGCCGACGTTTACAGTCCAGAGACGTGAGTGAAATCAAGCTTTTTTATTTTAGGCAATACACTGTATTAACGTTATAAAAAAACCAATGTTGCTTCTAACGTAGTCGAGCAGATGACGAATGCGGCTCCACTACAAGCTATGAGCTATCGTTTCATCAGTACTGCGTCGCCCTGAGTACGCTGATCCAGCATGGAACCCCAGCACAGCAGTTTGAATGTGAGTGCCGTCCTACATACATTATATTTTCTAAAAAATCACAACTTCTGTAATCCCAGATCTGTATCGTATATACACTACAAACGAACGAGGAATTGACCGCCAAGAATTGTTTCAGCTTCTTCAAGATCATTCGGAATATGTCACTAATATTGCCATGAAGGACGATAAGCTGTTGCATGTGACGGACCCCAGACGATTTGATAAACTGTACACGTGGCTCAAGAAATATTTTATTCTCTATGACGAAGCGAGATGTGGGTATCTGCCAGAGAATGCCGCACTCGATATGATTCAAGCACATCCAACAGCGCTGGCGCACCTCAAATTCCAACTGATTCCTTTTATCAAGAAGGTAAAAGAGAATAATGCTCGCTATGTCGAGCAAGAAGCTGCCGCACACGTTTCAGATTGAGCTGTGGGTCCACACCAGGATAGGTCAGAGGCTAGACTGGACAGTTGCTCATCACTATTAGGTGTACTGTAATGTACACATCGTGTAGGTTTGTCAGCGAATTCAACTAGATCCGATTTGGATCGTTCCAAAACGGTCTAGGTATATCTTGGCCTGCTGTTTAACCCTTGATGCAAACGGAGGATTACACGTACTTACGTTGACGATATACATAGATACACATTAACCTTCTTGACAGTCCGTGGAACAACTTTTGATCAAGTAACAAGTTGATAATGTTAAGATGGTTGGTGTGGTGCACATTCCAGAAATTTAGTTGGATTCCAACGAAATAGGAAATTTATGGAAATATCTGACGATGCAGTGGCCCTTTCAGTGGCTGATTTCCGGAAAAAAAATCGGCTTACAATGGACGAGCACGTGATTTCATATCTCGACGTACCACGGATTCCTACTACCAGTAGGTAAACCCTTCGATTTTTACCACATTTGACTTTTTTCCCCCTCTATCATCACATCAAGGGACTTTACAAAAAGTAAGTCTACCAGTTCAGTGGAATCACATCCTACCAAGTACGACAGGACATCGCGATATACGAGCTCATCTTGGACAGACTATGTAGGCAGTTCATATTTTAACATGAACTGTCTATTTACGGTAGGTCAAGCTTAGTGTTTGCCCATACGCATTTAGCCCTTCACCATCCTTACTATTACATAATAGTGACGGGTACCTGCACCCTCCAGAAGAATTTGTTCATCTCCTAAGTGACTTCACTTTCGATAGATCGAGGGTGAACACCTTTTGCAAATTTAAATACTGAGTGCGCTACCAGCCAAGTTCGTGTTATGGGAACCGTCAATTCTGTACTAGTAGGTCACTGCGCTTGTACCAAGCCGTGGTTTACTTTGAGGGCTCATTTTGCTATTTTTTTAAACAAAAAAAAACGTATCGAAAAATGAAGTTTTACTAGCGCAGGCCAGTATTTATCTAACGGACATTAACCCGTGGTCAATATAGAAGCACCTTGAATCTAGCATCCGCTGCCACCAGCAATCCGCAAGCAGCTCGTCGAGTCAAACAAACTCAAAATGTTGGTCATCAGTGACCAGGCCAGAGCAAAGATAAGAACGCAAATCGACACGATGCCCGCGATCTTGTTCTTGGCACCGTCGCGCTGCTGTCGATGAAGCTCGTCCTTCTGGTTCGGGAGCAGTTGGACGAACACGATAGCAAAGAGATTCAATGCGTAGGCAATGATATAAGCGTACGTGACCTGCGAGCGAACGTGGTGATCGTCCTGCTGGATGTACTCACGCTCAATGTCAAAGTAGCCGTCGACTGATTTGGTGATAACCGTGGCAAATGGGATACCGACACGTTGCGAGGTCACGGCCAGACCAAATAAGGTGGCCTCGAAGTCTTCACTGTCAACCTCAAGCATAAACAACGCACCGATGAAATCGGTAGCAGCGGTCGGGATCTTCTCGAGTAGCGGGACACCAAGCCAGAACCACTGGCTGCGGACCACATCCCAGATCGTGAACATTGTCGGGATAACGTCAAGGCTCACGACAAGCATCTGCGCGAAGATGATGATGTAGCGCCAGTTCCAGGCAAGACCGTACTTCTTAATCAAGTATGTTCCAAGCATGGTCAGGAAAGCGGCAATCATTGCTGCGATACCGTTGTTTATGGGCTCAACACCAGCCCACGTGCTTTGAATCGCACTCGACGAAGTCACGGAAATCATAGCCAACACGTTGTAGAAGAAGCGGAAGGCGATGTACCGGTAAATGGTTTTACGCTGAAGCAGCTCGTAGAGGAATATGAAGACCGACTTTGACAGACCAGTCGTGACGCGCTCTTCTTGGATGCAGAACCAGCAGAAGGGCAACACGATGAGTGACATACCAGCGCACACGCCCATGATCGCGTTGAAGCCGATAGACCATGAGAAGGTTCCCCCGTAATCTTCGCTGTTGAGACCAAGACCCGTAAAGAAAGCCGATACGGTCGCGAACCAGTAAAATATAACGTTGCAGTCACCCATGGCGGTACCACGCTTGTGAGCAGGCTCCTGCTGCGAGATTTCGATCATTGTACCGTTGAACCCACTGTATGCGAGCACAGTACCGAAATTGGCGATCATCATCAAGATAATCATCTTGATACCGCGATTGGGAGCGTCCGTGTCGATGGTCGCAAGCTGCTCGGGGGTGAGCTCACTAGTGTCCAAGTTGGCTATGGATTGATCTCCGTAGTAGGGGTCACCAAGAGGCAGCACCGCCATGAGGAAGCACGACAGGAACGTCATTCCCCACCCGATCACCATGTATGGGCGACGACGGTAGCCAAAGATCGGAATTGTATCCGTCAGCATTCCGGTGAACAAACGGAGGCTGCGAGGGAACTGGATGAGGGCAACGGCCGTAGCAACCAGAGTCGCAGACATATGGAGGTAGTTATTTAACACGGCGTAGACAATTCCACTCATGGTGCTGTTGACGATACCAACACCAGCTGAGTGAGCCAGCATGCCCAAGTTCTCCCACGAATACGCAGACACGGAGCCACGAGGGGCACGTAAAGCGCCATTCACGAACGAAGTGCCATTCTCCACATTTGCCTCCCTGGGCGACTTGGTTTCAACGTAGGGGTTCTGCTTGAGCTGCTCAGATGCCTCCATCGCCCAGTAGATTGAGAAATGAAGTCGGAGTCCACCATTGGACGTGCAGTTTGTTGGATCTGCTCGAGTTAAGTACATCCAATAATGTATAATACACTCGACAAACCCAAGTACGTAGAATATCGATGATAACGCAGGAGGACGGATTATGCGATCCTGCCAGGTATTGTGATTGGATTAAGGCACGCGCCCATAGTGTGACCACGTCTAACTGATAGTCAGCTGTGATTCACGTGGTTTTTCATACTAATGACAAGGTGGGTTTCAGAGGCCTGAACCATTTATTTTAACCTGTCAAATGAGAGTTGCTTGATTAAGATTCTTAATTTTTGAAAGCGTCGCATCGTACACCAAGCTGATCTAAGTTGCGTCAGATATCCAAACTTCGCTACAATATTGAAATTAATAGTGGTGTCAACGTTACTTTCTTTGGCGCGATTGACCGTGCCGTCCACTTCGGCAGCTCTTACATATGGTGCATTCTATCTTCTCGATATTGCACTTGAAAAAAAAAGAAGCTCATTGTTACTGCTCTACTGAACAGACAGGACGCTGCTGAAACTGAATGAAAACTCTTCATTCAAAATCATATTCGACTAATAGAACTTGTTAGCGGCTTTACTACTGCCTATTGTTTGCATGCAATGGCCTCGATTACTCTTTATTTAACCTTTCTGTTGAGCTTAAGACTCCAACAAAAAAGCAATAAACTTCAGCTATGAGATCGGTCAAGGTACTCGAGGACATTCAGATGAACATTAAAACAGTTCTCTAGCCAAGCCTAACCCAATAGTGTACGCTCAAATCCAATTCAAGTCGAGTTTCGTGGGTACGTTACTTAAAGACTAGACACGTTTAGACATTTTTCAATTCTACGGACGTATTCTGTCTGTTCCCCCAAACCATACATATATATATAGTACGCGAACAATAACGAAAGCTGAAAATAGTGTAAAATAACGGATCTGTTTTGATATTACTTTACTTTAATTATACGAACGTATTTTCACTTTTTCCCATATTTTTCGGAAATGCGAGATTTTGATTGTAAAAACGAAAAAACAATCGATTTCAGTGCTCGCTAATAGAGAATGTAGTAGCGCTCTTAAAACTACGTTGAACGAGCTTGATCATACCTTTTCCATTCACCTTTCTACATATATGGAGCTAAGATCGATTAGCATTGCCCTTGTAGGTTAATCGCAAGGAGCTCTCAACAAATGCTGATTTATTGTTCTTAAATAGTTGGGTACTGTATTTATTACAGCCTCGACAATACCCGGATCAATTGACACCGAAGTGGACAATACATGGAAAACATATCGGGTCTTCATGAAGGAAGAATGCGGCGATCGAACAAACTGCCCGTCGAGACCATAACCAGAGAAGCCAGCATCACCACCCGCAGTAAGCGCGAGATGGACTCGGAAGAGAAGATATCCTTGACATGTTGTCCTAATTTGTATTAATAAGTTGTCCTATATTTTTATGTTTGATATAACATAATCGTCCATGTTTGTTTACAACAGGGTACATTTGTTTATTATACGTTACTCACGTAGCGAAATCTCACCATGAAGTATGGGTACTTCAATATCTCCCTATATTGTCGCTGCGTTGTATGTCTCACGGCAAGCCTCAGCTTTTCCGCATTTTGGGAGGTTTACTTTCCCCATGGGTATGACCATGCTAATGGTATATCGTTTTGGTACAAGATGACGACATCGATCAAAGCCAATCGATCCAAGGATAGGAAAATCGTAAAACGTTTTGAAGAAAGATGGCGACATCGGCAGAATGTCGCCAGAATTATCCATTATTACGGATATGCGAGGTGACCATGCATTTTCAGGAAGATCATGATTGTCTATCCCATTCGAATTATGCCACATTACCAGAGCCTGTTGAATATCCGTGCACCACCATGGTGTTTCCACGAAAACTACTTTGGGCACCCTTTTAGTGATGGACTCTTTCCGGGTGGACTGTGCACTTCGAAAGGGACTCGAGCTAATTGTTTTGAACAAGGATTTGTGTGTCTTTAGTGAAGGTTCAATCCTGACTCAGAATTTATCACCTCCCTACATATTCGCGATGGTAGAAGCATCCAGTCATAGAGTATAAACGGTAGTGAATTCGTCTTATGTTGCCATGCTAACTCTATTGTGTCTCTGTCACCTTTGGTGGAAACTCAAGTTGGTTTTGCGCCTTGACTATCATAATTAATAGGTGCTTATCGTACGTAAATATGGCCTTAATTGCGTCAAAGAGTATTCTTACCAAACTTCGCTAATATTGAACTTTATTGAGTGAAAGGAAGAGTGAGAGAGGAGCTCTGTCCTTAGCAGTGAGGGAATACCGTGACCAACCACAGCAATGGGTGGTCTGGACGAAAACCCAACTGCACACGATCCTACACTCACTATCGATTAGTGGAGCTCGCTGAATCCAATAGCTAAAATGTCGTAATTAATAAATGTAGATCATCCTTAACATGACTTAGTTGTTCCAGGGGTTGTAGTGTCTAGGGGAGGTAGCGCAAGCGAATAGACTTACCAATTTTCGACCCGTGTCCGCTTCTGTGCTCCCAAAACAGTGCCCAAAGCCCCCGAAAGGCACCCAAAAGGTTAACCTACAATATTTTTTTTGACTACATATTCGCAATCTTATAACGACGTTATAAGAAAATAAACCTCTAACTATTTCATGACAATACTTTATTCATATCAATTTAGATATAGCTAAACCGTATACAAATATATTATGCAATCGTACATTCCCATAGTAACGTGTTCTTTAGCGCAAACGAGGAATGCGAGGAAATGTATATGGTGCTGCATATGGTGGCGGTCGCTGCCGACGGTGTCGAACGTCAGCAAATTGATCGATGCACGTTTTGGCTTCTTGTTGTAGCACATCAACAAAGTTCAGCATGATTGGATGTGGAGCTCCAAACAAGTCGGCGACCCTCCAATTATACGCCTTCTGCGGGTTGTTAGTCCTGTTAACTATATCGACGTTCTTCTTGATCGTTCCGGAGATATTCTAACAAGAAATATCATATGTGTCACACCACGTCTTCACACAGTAGTCCCAGAAGGCTTGCCATTTGCTTTGTGATCTCCTTGTTGATGAGACCGTAGATCTTTTTAGTTACGAACGGAATTGTCCTTTTCGTTAGACCTTTTGGACTACTAAAATAGAAAGCCAAGTACTTCAGGTTCCATGGCGGCTGTGACCTCCGTTTGAGAGATCCCCATTGAAAACATTTTTTGCGCCGTAGAGCCTGCTTCTAACGGAACAGACAGCCGATAATGTGCACACTGTCGAACTGATCGCGAATTCGAAGGTGGAGCGCCTGCTCAAATTCACACACCACCACTCTCGGTGCGCAGGCCATGCCTGTTTGATTTTTTCTCCAAATGGAATACGTCCCAGTATATCAAGGGACTCTTGGTATCAACCAGGCTATAGAAACACGGTACGTAGAGGTCGTGAGCTCTATCGTGAGTCAGCACAATTATGGTCTGAGGAAATGGCTTTGAAGTCGCACTGATGGTGGCGTCGACGAATAGAGAAATGCAAGGATATTTCATCAGTCGAATGAGGTCTGGACGCCTAAACCTACGATTCGCCTGCATTTTACTTCCATTGGATAAGGAAGACTTATCAGGAGAAAGCATCTCTCGTAATCTTCAGATATACGTTGAACGGACTCGGTCTCGATACCTCAAAACATCCTACCACAGGTTGCCACCTATCGCGACATACTGATAGACAATCGTTTCTCGATTGGAGAGGAACCGAAGGCCAGACCGTTCAACGTATTCACGGACCATCTCGTCCTTGGCATCACGCCACAGACTTCACCAAAACATCGTAGTTCTTGATATCGTATATTACTGAATCTATGGGCATGATAGTTGGTAGTCGTACAGGGCCTTCTGTATTCATGTCATTGTTGCGTTAGCATGTAAATCACGTTGTACTTGGAATTATCCAACAGTCGATTTACTTTGATAATCGAACCTATTTGGGATTACTGAAAACCGAAGGT